CTTCCCCTTCCCTCTTTCCACCCCTTTTCTTCCTTCTCACTGCTGTCACTCCCAGCCCGAGCCAACAATTGGCCCCCCCTGCCCTCCTGCTGCCCGGTGAAGCCGTGTTTCTATCAGGACATCCCCGTGGAAATCCCTGCTGACTTCCAAAAGACGGTCACTGCCATGTATTACCTCTGGATGGGTCAGTCTGTGGGCTGGGGGGGGGATTAAAGGAGGGGGATGGTTCCCCTCTAAGTCTTGTTTGGATCACCCAACTGAGCTCCTTTCTCTCAGCCAGCACCGTCGCTCTGCTCCTGAACTTCTTCTCCTCGCTGGCCTGGTTCTGTGTGGATCCTTCCTCAGGTTCTGGTTTCGGTCTCTCCATCCTCTGGGCTCTGCTTTACACACCCTGCTCCTTCGTCTGCTGGTACCGGCCCATGTACAAAGCGTTCAGGTGCTGTGGGGTGATTTCATTGCAGCCTTCAGTACCTAAAGGGAGGCCAAAAACAGGAGGGGAGTCAGCTCTTGGGAAGGGGAGATGAGAGCAGGACGAGGGGAAATGGTTGGAATTAAGGGAGGGCAGGTTGAGGTTGGGTGTCAGGATGTCAGTTGTGAAGCCCCATCTGCAGCACTGCGTCCAGGGCTGGGGGTCCCAGGAGGAGAAAGACAGGGAGCTGTTGGAGAGGGTCCAGAGGAGCCACAGAGATGAGCAGGGCTGCAGCACCTCCCTGCAAAGACAGGCTGAGGGAGCTGGGCTTGTTCAGCATGGAGAAGAGAAGCTGCGGGGTGAATCACTGCAGCCTGCAGTACTAAAGGGAGCCCAAAAACAGGGGGGGAGTCAGCTCTTGGGAAGGGGAGATGAGAGCAGGACGAGGGGAAATGGTTTGAGGCTGAATGAGGGCCGATTTCAGTTGGATGTCAGGGGGAAATTCTTCACTATGAGAGTGGTGAGGTGCTGGAACAGCTGCCCAGAGAGGCTGTGGATGCCCCGTCCATCCCTGGAGGTGTTGAAGGCCAGGTTGGATGGGGCCCTGGGCAGCCTGGGCTGCTGTGAAATGTGGAGGTTGACCCTGCATTGGTGGGGAGTTGGAGCTCTGTGATCCTTGAGCTCCCAACCCAAACCATTCTGTGAGCTCCTGGACAAGCAGAGGGTGGTGGGGGTTGGGATGTTTGTTCACTTTGGGGCTCTTTGCTGGGGAAATCAGGCTCCATTAAAAAAAAAATGAATCACAGAACGGTTTGGGTCAGAAGGGACCTTAAGGATGATGAATCTCCAACCCCCACCAATGCAAAGCCACCAACCTCCACATTTCACAGCAGCCCAGGCTGCCCAGGGCCCCATCCAACCTGGCCTCCAACACCTCCAGGGATGGACGGGGCATCCACAGCCTCTCTGGGCAGCTGTTCCAGCACCTCACCACTCTCTCTGTAACGAACTTAATCAATTTAATCATTTAATCTTCCACCAAGAGATGATGGCTCTCACTCCATGGTGGGGTGAGACCCTTCCCCATAGGGTAGCCTTGCCCTGGGGGTCTTAGGGGTCCTCCTCTTCCCTCTGTTCACAGCTTCACGTCCAGGGCTGTGTGCTGTCCTTGCTTGGAGGAGGATTTGAGGGCTGTGCCTGATGTTCTCTCCTTCTTTCCCCCCCCAGGAGCGACAGCTCATTCAATTTCTTTGTCTTCTTCTTCGTCTTCTTTGCCCAGAATGTGATGTACGTCCTGCAGGCAATTGGGATCCCAAACTGGGGGTTCAGGTAAGATCTGTGCTGAGCCCTGGGCTGGAGGAGGAGGAGCTGGGGGATGGTTGAACCCAAAGCATCCACTTCTGCTTTGCTTTGGTTTTTTTTTGTTGTTGTTTTTGCAGTGGTTGGATCGTGAGCCTGATAGCGGTGCGGGTGAACAGAGCTGTGGCAGTAATGATGATCCTGGTGTCTTTGCTCTTCACAGCGCAGGCAACGTTGGGTATTATCATGCTGAAAAGGGTGAGCAGGGGGAGGAGGGTGGG